GGTACATTGTTCACTTTTCATTTTAAAAAATTCAGGGATCGAAACTTGAGAGTGACGAAAACATTTTCTTCTCTAAAAGATTCCCCTTTCACCTCCTTTCCTGTTGTCTTGTCCTGTTCTTTCATGTTTTCATCTCTACTTTCTTCCCCCGCCTCTGGCCTCCTCTGGCCTCCTCTGGCCTCCTCTGGCCTCCTCTGGGTTCCTCTCTCCTTCACTGATGACTCATTCTATTGGTACTCCTGGCTCCTTCCTACTGCTGTCTTTCAGCCACACCCCTGATCTTAGGGTAGGTAGGATTGAACACCTAGCTTTCTCGGACAAGGGCGAAAAAATCCTGTGTGCAAATTGAGCATGCTAAAGATCACGGACTTTGGTGGTCCTAAAATCGACCAGAGTAGGTTTCGGCCTCCACCCGGGCAAAATTTGAATACAAATTCCAACCAAAACCTAAAAAAGTCTAGTCAGTAAGACATGTGTGAGGCAGCGTAGTGGAATCAGGCTCTCGTCAATTTTTGCGCATGTAGAGTTATTGGTATTATCTTAAAGCTTGTTCACTTGTCTTTATTTTGATGAAAATAATATCCTTTTATCTTGAATACAAGTCGAGATATTTGCTGATGAAAGGGGCGGGGGTCACCTGTTTTCAGAGGTAAAATTAGTGAGAAAATGGCCGCTAAAGATTAGTTATTTCCTTAGCTTAAGAGTCCGTGGTAACGGAAAAGTTTTATTTTTTGTGCCTTTAATCAACGTTTTTCAGAAACATCCACACAGAAATGTGTTCTTTAATGGGCATGAAAGGTGTTGAGCCAAAAAACAAAATTTTTATAAAAATTCACAAACCTGCGGAAAAAAGTTTCTTCACTTTGATTATTTTGACGAGAGCCTGATTCCACCACGCTCCCTCACATATTATAGAATACCTTCGAAATCGGCATGTGACTGTCTGAAGGTAAGGGCCCTTTAGAAATGAAGACATCAGACAACAAGACGGCGTCGAGTCGAGCATAGAATACAACAAGAGAAAACAGCCTAGATGGTTTAGACACGTTATGAGAATGTGATCACATAACCCATCTCAAAGGCTTGGGTTCAAAGCAAAGGGAAGACCGAGAAAAAGATTGATCGAATAAGTCAAAGAGACCCTTTAATAGGGTTTAGGTTTAGGTTTGGGGTAGGGGTAGGGATAGGGTTTAGGTTTGGGGTAGGGGTAGGGTTTAGGTTTGGGGTAGGGGTAGGGTTTAGGTTTGGGTTAGGGGTAGTGTTAGGGTTTAGGTTTGGGGCAGGGGTAGGGTTAGGGTTTAGGTTTGGGATAGGGATAGGGTTTAGGTTTGGGGTAGGGGTAGGGTTTAGGTTTGGGGTAGGTGTAGGGATAGGGTTTAGGTTTGGGGTGAGGGTAGGGATAGGGTTTAGGTTTGGGGTAGGGGTAGGGTTTAGGTTTGGGTTTAAATTTATTAGGAGTTTTCGGAAAATAGATCTAGGTCACAGTAGCGCCCACCATTAGAGAAGCTGCTAGAGAGCAACATACAAACAAACAAAGAAGAAGAAGAGGTAAGGGCAACAGATGTTTGATAGGAAAGAAGGAGCAAACCCCACCAGAGCACCTGCCAACCACTTACCACTGTATGCTTCCCGGGAAGCTGAGAATGTTTTACAGTGTTCTA